TGCCTACTCTATTTCTCTTCCTTTTGTATAAAACCAATACATTAAAATATTTTAGTTACCAAGATCGTTCACCCAGGGTCTGTTAAGGTCACGAGATGGAGTTGTCCGTATCCCTAATTCTCCGAGGTGGACATTAAGTGGGCGCAGTAACTCAGTTACAGATAATTAGGTGGTAACTGCGCAATTCCTGCAACTGGTTTTATTTCCATATCTCAAGACAAGGTTTTGAAATAGAGAAAGATGGGTAAGGCCATGTGGCTTCACCTCATCGAGTGCCTTCAGCGTGATCAGAACTGGCGTATTTTTCTTTTTGTAAAATATAATTTATTTTCCTTACTCTACTTCTATTGAAGTGTTCTTGAAAATAACTAACCGTGTGTCATGGCACGCCATAGTGTTACGAGTGAAATGCAACTTCCTGAGATAAGACAACACAAAAGCATCCTGAATTCCTCCAATGGACTAATTTCTCTTCTGTTAAAAAAAAAAAAACCAAAACATTTTAAAAAATTTAAAAAACCCCAAAACTTCCTTGGCAATTCGCTAGAGGTGCATGGTAGTAAGTCCCTCAGTTTTTTCATGGGGTGTAGAAGAAGGCTGGTGCATTGATTTGTTGGGCAAGGAAAACAGTCCAAACACAGAATTCGCACGTCTCTCTGGCAAAAAAACCCACAGAATTTGACAAGAATACGTTAGGACTGACACCTCAAACCTTGCAGACTAAATAAATGCTGAGGTCATTTTAATAAACACTTTCTTTCTCTTAGACAAATCCCTCAGTATTCCTTTTAGCCCAGCTATTAACCCTTCTGTGGCAACAGTGTTTGGAGAGTTCCCATCCGACCGGAGATCAGGCTGAACCGGTGGCGGCAGTGACTATTACATTACCGGGGTAAATGGCGGTGGCCTTGCAAAGTCACACACTGGCTCTGGAGGCAGCCGCTCCGAAAATTCCTCCGGCAAAGGTCAGGAGACCTGCCAGGGCTCCGAGGTTTGACTGAAGCCCCCAGGGACGGGGTTGCGGTGATTGCAATATTACTCTAATCAGTAAAATAAAAGCTTCTTTTCATCAACAGCTAATCACAGGACTTCATTTGTCTCTGACTTCCTTCAGTTGCCTTGACAGATGAGAGCACAGTAATATAAATAAGAAATGACAGTTTACCAAAGAAGGTTAACGTAAGGTCACGACCTTTTTTTATTCGACTTCTGGAGCTTATTCATGTGTGAAAGCATACTTTTGTAGCTGTAGCCTCAGCGTCCCTTACAGATCCAGACTTGTGCTAATAATTGAGTTTTAAAATGGTGTTTAAGTTTGGAAAATATCATTTTTGCTTTCTGTGATGTTTGAGTAGAATTGTCTTGCATGAGTACAAACCCTAAAATGAGAATATCTGCACATCTTGCAGGGTTTCACATAAGAAGTCAGTGGTACCTCTGCTTAACCAGTAAGGAGCTATTGCACAAAGGTAACGCTGATTTGCACATACACACACACACACACACACATTTCCTCTCCCTTACCCAGACCAAGATATGGCTTTTGGGGCAAACCCACCCACGGACATTAATCAGAATGCCCCAGAAACACTGAACGCCGGTACAGATGCATAGGGCACAGAATCAGGCTGACAGTTGTATACTAATAAATGTCAAATACTAATTTATTGTATTATTCGTGCAGTGGTTTAAATCCAAATCCCTTCCCATCATTAATTTCCATCAGACACATGATGAGCGAGAGGTAAGCATGAGCTTTATGTCAAAATCTGTAATGCCTACGCCACTATCTGCCAGAAAATATTTCTCTGTCAGGTAAGAAAACTGAAATTCTGCCCATGAACACCGGAGAGCAAAATCTGCGGTACAACATGTAGATAGAATCATAGAATCATAGAATGTTTAGGGTTGGAAGGGACCACTAGTGGTCATCTAGTCCAACCCCCAAATTAGTTAGATAATTAGTTTCGAAAGGCTAATCAGTTCACCGCTCTGGCTGGCATTTCTATATAGATGCACGTGCCTTCACCTGATGACAACTTGCCTCTTGAGGGAAGGATGCCTTAACGAAGTGAAGTGAGACTTTACGTAGCGCATAACTCTGATCTATCCTGCCATAGGAGCCCCCAGTTAGTTAGAAAAGATCCTTATAGGCCTTGGAAGGAGCACGGAGCCCGCAGTGTGGGGTGTCCCAGGCTGTGCTGCTTGTTCCCCTTCCCCACGTGGCTCTAACTAGCCACAGAACCACCCAAGAAAGGGAACGTTTAATTAATGCTGACAGCAATAACTTATTTTTAAGATTCTCTTGCCTATTTTGTGCTGTTGTCTTGTTCGTATTCATGGAGCCTTGTGTCTTGCACACAGCTTTGACACCCCAGAACGCAGAGATGCTGAGCATCCCCAGCTCATTCTAGCTGTGAAATTAGGCCTTCAGGTCTCCTAAAATTGCTCACAGCCCCCCCAGCTATTATTGATCAGATCAGCAGTACACTTCATTATGTTGTTGGATTAGTGAATTTTTATCCACTTTCCCTTCCTCAGCATCAAACCACTACCAATGGCTAAAACTTTTTTTTTAAAAATATACCGTTATTTCGACATCTCTCCTTTTTGCTGGAAGGATGCTCTACTTTGTTTCTGAAAAACAAGATCAATCTTTGCACTAATAATGACTTACTGAATAAAATCTGTACCGCTTTTCTAACGATACACCTTATTCGTACCTTGGATTATAAAAACCAACCTGTACGCCAGCTGATCATTTCAGCCACCAGTGAAATAAAACCAACCATGAAGACGGCTGATGTGAGCAGAACCAACAGTACACATCTATTTAACGCTTGAGTTTAGACCAAGGGGTAACATATAGCACAATGGTGCTTTAAAGGAAGAAAGAATGTAACTACCCAGAACAACTATGGGCCTTATTCCTCCAAAAACGCTGGCTAACCTGAATGAGAAACTGTTTTACTCTCATCTGCAAAATGGCCCCTTTGAGCAACGCAGGGGCATCAATAAAACACCAATTCGGTGCCTTGGAAGACCAGCACCTTCCAGCAGCACGCAGAGTTTTGTTTGGAAGCTCTCTTTTCCTATACGTAGCAATCAACCAGCAAATTACTTACATTGTAACATCTGATGGCTAGAATTTGGCTGAAGAAGCTGTCTTGCAAGTCAGTATAGCTATATGCTCGTCGGCATTATCATCCCCACAGAAGTTCAGGTGTCACCGCTACGTTCACTTCTGTTCGATGACTTGAGCGTTTCCAGTTTCCATTTTTGTCTGAAGATTTCAAAAAGCGGCTTCAAAATGGCTAATAATATCCTCTCCTATAATTCCTGGTTAGATAATATGTAATACAAGAATCAAGTACCTTAAGCTCTGTTGGAGTTTTTAAAGAATGTCAAAATACTAGAATTTAAAATATATTTTAAGAATAGCCGAATTGTGCAGAAGGAACACTAATTTAACTAACTCACTAAGACAAAACTATTTTAACGGAAACAGGACTCTCACATGCTAAGCAACTTAGGATTACAAATCAGTGGGACCCCTGCTTTCAAAAACTTAAGTTTTTGAAAAAAATGTATGCAGATCTGGAAGCAGGAAGCAGTCATCAACGTACAGACCTATACACTGGTTCCTGGGTGTATTACAAACTGGTCCCCAAAAGAGGAAATAGAAACCAGAGGTGAAGTAGCAGGAATATGTGAATCATGCATAGAAGCTCTGCCTGGAGCTCTCAGAAGGCCAAAATGAAAGCAGGGAGGGCCGTAATGAAAAACTTCAATCAAAACAAAATAATCATCTACAGCTTATTTACACTGTCAAGCTGGGTATCAAATGATAGCTTGCTGTGGAAAACAATTCTACAATCTTCTAGTGAAAAAAGGCGTGCAGCCAAATAAATTATAAAGTTAGGATAAAGAATATGACCATAGCCAAGAAATACATTGCTTTGTACAAACCTTAAGAAAGGAGTCGAAGGACAATGGTAAAATGAAATCTTGGAAGAAAGGAATTTGTGAGAGGCTATGCAACAGGAAAAGCCAGAGAAGATGGTTTCTTGTGAGAAGATAACACAGTTCATGAAAACCTACCTAGCACCTTTCATCTTGAGATAATCAAAAAACGTCAACGATATACTTGCTGCAGCAATGAAATGCAATCAAGAGTGCAATCCAGGCACACAGCCAGTGCACACAGGATCATATGGCAGCGAACATTCATTACTTGTGTTAGAGGAGAGTCCATGAAGAAGGAGCTGCTCTGGCCTGCGATACGGTACACCTTGGCTACTGTACACTTGACCTCCTCTACCTCTTGCATCTAATGACGCAAAAGGTGTAGCGACTGTAGGTCAACAGATCAGACGGACTTGTTTACACCCACTCTATGTTTACCAGTGCATCTTTAAGAAGTCTGATCATAATTCATCATCTGTTCGAACATAAGCTTATGTGATGTTTTGCTTCTATACAAAGTCAAGCTTTTGCATAAGAACAAATTTTACCCCATAATCCATTAACTAGACTTGTATGTCCCTTAGGAAGAAGACAAATGGGTTTACGTAGCATGTGGTTTTAAATCCTTTTTTTTATTCAGTTAATCTCTAGCTGTGGAATTGTGATTGAAATGCAAAAATGTATGTGTATTTTCTGATAAGAACCATTTTGTTTTGGAGACAGACAAAATGTTATCAAGCACATACACTTTCTTCAGGTTTTTAAATTGATGACGGAAATTCCATAATCAGAACATGGCACAGGCAATCCAGGTTAAGTGATAACATTTTTTCAGAGAAAGAAAACAAAACCCTAACCCTTTGAAGTGTTCTTACAGTTACATCTTCATAATCCAGACATGAGAAGATCTGCACTCTTGACAACTCTGAGCAGACGCACTTCAGCTGGCTCCAGATAAAAGCCAACATTTCCTCTTCCTTTCCAATGTCTTCTCAGATTTCTTAATAGCAGCGAGACACAGTACAAAGCATTACCTCCACATGATTTTCCATCCTCCTCCAGTTTCTGGCCAGCTGGACATTTGCAGTGGTAGCTGCCGATGGTATTACAGCACTGGTCGTGACAGCCACCGTTCTCAGTGGTGCACTCATTTACATCTGTGGGAAGAACGTATATGGCTGTCAGTAAAGAGCGGGCATTGACCACATTACCTGGTTATTTGAGGACAGTCGCATATGATTCTGATGGAATGAAGTGATAACGTTACCGAGATGTACAGCTAAGGACCCTGAAGGCAACCACAGGAGCAGTGACTCCCAGCTATATTGCTGTACCCCTCAACTCGACCAAGTGGTGCAACGGTGGGATTTTTCCTCCCCACTCCTGTGCCATGTAAGCTGTGGGGTCCATCCAGCTCCAGCTTGAGCTGAGGCACCAGCTTCCCACACCAGTACAACAAGATCAGGAACAATCTTTATACTGTCCTTTCCATTTGTGCATTAGGTTGCTTCTAGAAGTCATGGCAGAGATGAAAAACCTCTGGAAGATGTAAATCAATTAAAGTCCTTCTTTCCTTCGGATATGTGTGCACTACACACCTTATGAATTCATTTGACCAAGCTTGTGCCTGCCTGCATGATTTTAAATAGGAAAAATTATGTCTTTACACATAAATGAAGAACATTAAAGAACCACATAAGTAAGTAAGTAAATAAACTAGCCAACAGGAGAGAAAAATCAATAGTGAAGACATTTTATTTTTTAACCCGTGTACTTATATACCCTGCGTAAGAATTTAGGGGGCCACAAAAATGATCCGGGGGCTGAAGCACCTCTCCTATGAGGACAGGCTGAGGGAGGTGGGCTTGTTCAGCCTGGAGAAGAGAAGGCTGCGGGGAGACCTGATTGCGGCCTTCCAGTACCTAAAGGGGGCCTATAGGAAAGAGGGGGAAAATCTTTTTAGTAGGGCCAGCTGTGTCAGGACAAGGGGTAATGGTTTTAAACTAAACCAGGGTAGGTTTAGACTAGATATAAGGAAGAAGTTCTTTACAATGAGGGTGGTGAAACCCTGGAACAGGTTGCCCAGAGAGGTGGTGGAGGCCCCATCCCTGGCAACATTCAAGGCCAGGTTGGATGGGGCTCTGAGCAGCCTGATCTAGTTAGCGGTGTCCCTGCTTCTGCAGGGGGGTTGGACTAGATGACCTCTAGGGGTCCCTTCCAACCCAAAACATTCTATGATTCTATGATTCTGAAGAAATGTGATAGAAATCATCAGACCAGTAATGCTGCTCTGCTGAACAGGATCAGAGACAAGAGATGGTAGGAAGCATTTCCAAACTAGAAAATTTGTCAAAGGGGATAGTAAATATAAGAAAACCAGCAGGTATTTGCTGCACTGATTTCGGGATTCTGGAACACGTACTCTGAAGCGTTAATGCCACACAGGCACATAATCCATCAGTGCAGGGGTAAACCAGGACGGCAACGAACCTGCATAGGACTAACACGCTGTGAGTGACGACTTCTCAATTTGTTGGCAAATGTCTTGAACTGGCTCGGAGGCAGAGCAGACCTCCTCGGCAGCAGAGCAGACCTCCTCGGCAGGTTAGCGAGGGGAAAGGCAGGGCTAAGGGGACACGCCACGCTCTCAAAGCCTGGCATGAGGACGCAGGTGACAGATCTCACATCTGCAAGGCCTGTGGCACTGGCAGAGATCACAGATTACATCCAGGCTAGTGAGCAAGAAAAGGAGGAGGAGGAGGAAGATTAAGCACCAGAAGATAAGCATCATCATGACTGTAAAAATCGCAGGGAGTCACTTCGCGTCAGTGGCACTCTGCATCTCCAATGGGGAAACGCGGCTTTTTAAAAACCTTCTCATGAGACTCTGGTCAAAAGAAACACAAAGTGCTGTACAGACAAATCAAAAAAAGAAAGAATTTCACATTCATGCAAGAGAGATGAGAGCCTTTCAACTGCAATCCTCAGCTGTTAAAGTCTAAGACTTACCAAGGTTTGTTAGTTCTTCCATGAGCTTCAGCTTGACTTTACTAGCTCATTTCTGATCCTGGCTAAAAACCAGAGGGTAAAAGAAATTTTTTGGGAGGTTTCAGAGTATTAAAAAGCTAAAAGAAAAGTGTATCATGAAAAGTTAACATTTACTAAAGTGCGGCTGAAGAGGCACAAACTCACTAAACCCACCCCGTTTCTCCATGGCTCTAAATTCAGCGCGATGACCGACACAACAAAACTTTCTTTGTCCTCAGTGATACTGAAAAACACTGGCAAGCTATATAAAAAAATAAAATTAAAAAATCAGTTATCTCAGAGCTACAAAACAAACCAAATCCTAACTTGCATGAAGTCACGGCTCTTCTCCTGATTTCATGGGAACATGATTTAGACAGGAACTTTTCCAATGAAAAACACTTCCCCCCCCTCCAGCTCCAAAATGCAAAAACAAATCGTACCAAAATAAGACATTCGTCTGTTCACTTCTCTTCAGCAAGAGACGGAGAGAACATATGACAAGCGACAGATTTTAGACACACTCCGCAAAGCGCTGGAAGAAGGCACGCTAGCGCTGAGCATCCTGCAGGAGCTCGACAAAACAGGCACCTTCCAAGTGATTTACTCCCTCTACCTAGCAGACCTCTTGATGTAATAACCAGGAATAAGCCACATAATAATCCTGCTCCACAGCTTCGACTTCTATTTATACTGACAGCACTGAAAACTAATGAAATCTCTTTTTATTTTTTAAACAAAATAATGGGAAGAACTACTTTATTCTTCAACATTGTGTTTGGTACCTACCATGCTCCATGAGCTCCTCGCATAAAATATTGACTAAGTGGTGTGGTCTACAATATACAGCCTCATTTATTAACACCAGGGTCTGTATTTTGAACCAAAACATTAGAAGAAAAGCTTTCTAGCTGAGGAGCTAATCATTATCCTCTTGATTTCACTAGGGTATAATACATTCGCAAGTGTATGGTGCTATTGCATACTAATGTATAGAATGCTTCTCCTTCTGATTGCAGCGTGTTTCTATTAGCAATCAGAAATCTTCTCCGTTCTTATTCAGCATAAAGTGCTGTGGTCCACCCATGAATTTTGCCCCCGAAAAAGTATTGCTGCTCTATGACTGATAACTTCATCTTCTTCCAGCTCCTTGTCATCTTAATGCTCTGTCCAGGACTTCCTTGTCCCTGCCTTAATACTTGTTTTCATCCTTTGATGAAATGCTTTCATCCATTTCTTTGCCACTTCTCACACCAGAAATCCACTGGTTTGGTTTGGTTTTTTTTTTTTCTCTATTATATGCAGAAAACCTGACTTTTCCGCCGCTTCTCACACCAGAAATCCACTGGTTTGGTTTGTTTTTTTTTCTTTTCTCTATTATATGCAGAAAACCTGACTTTTCATCCACATGTCTCTTTAAAACAAATACCTCACTTAAAGCTAACCAGCGTAACCCAGAATTAAATTATAGTTTGTTTTAAGACACCATATAAACTTTTTGATACAGCTCTATCCCTATTACCCAGCACTTGCACTTGAAGGCATACCCTCACCGGGTACAACCTGTACTAGTTTTAACCTTAGGCTTATGAAAATTTACTCTCTAAGCATCTGCATCCTTCGTCGTACCATCCCTGCGCGAGCCCTTCTCCCCTGCCTGTACCCTGCCAAGCTCTTTTGTACAACCCGGTAAGAAAGGTCAGAAGTTGCCTCAGTCCAAGCAGCAGAAAATAAATGATCTGAATACGAAGTAATAAAGAATGTGTTTTACATTGGTAAAAGGACGGTTCCTGTAGCTGCAATCAGCTGTTCTATATTCCTAAACCACAGAGTAGTCAGAATCTTAAAATCTGATTACAGATTTGCCACTGTAAAAAAGAGGGGAAAAAAACCCCAACCCCAGAACACAAACAATTCTGTCAAATGATAAATTTTTCTCTGCTTTCCATATTCAGTGTCATTCAAGGTTGCAAATATATTTGCCTTTTTAATAGCATGAAAAATGACAGAAAATTTCTGACATGTAACAAGTCTTCCAGGTTAGGTCTGACAAAAGTTCAGCGTTATCAAGACTATCAATCCATCTGTAATGACATACTGTGGGCGCTTCAGAAAAATAAATGTGATGTTTGCTACTGCAATGCTTTACGTTTATTTATAGAGCCAATGTTGCGACACAAAAACATTATCCACAGGACAGACTCCATGTGAGCTTTCAATCCTGCCACGCGAAGTCTTAAGGACAAAAAAAAAAATTGAAAAAACCCTCATCTAGATTAACTTAAAATTAGCTTTATAGATGATCTGTCTACCATGCACGTGGAAAAAAAAATCCACAGTGTATTTTAAATCCACCAGTATTCAAAAATGTGTATTGTAGACATGCACCTATGTCCTGTGTTATTATAGGACTGCACTACATAAAAAGGTATTCTTTTCTCTAGAAAATTCTAGAAATATAGAAAAATTTCTTCACCGAAAGGGTTGTCAGGCTCTGGAATAGGCTGCCCAGGGAGGTGGTCGAGTCCCCATCCCTGGAGGTATTTAAAAGAAGGATAGATGAGGTGCTTAGGGACATGGTTTAGTGGTGGGATGGCAGGGTTAGGTTAACGGTTGGACTCGATGATCTTAAAGGTCTTTTCCAACCTAGACGATTCAATGATTCTGTGAAATCCCATACAATATTTGCTAGGTAGGGAAGCGTGCCTTTTGTTCATGAAAGAGACCACCTCTGCCCAGCTAAGCATGCCTAGGAGCTATATGCTAAATGAAGAAGGGCCGATTCCAATCCCTTCACTTCTGTTTAATTCTGCTGTTTAATGCTGCTCACTCCCCGCCCGACAGTATCACACTGCAGCGCAAGTCAGAGGCGGCCCCGGCTCCAGGGAAAACCACCCTTCACCAAGTTTTCATGCAAGTCCAGATGATTTCAGATTTCCTACAAATAAACGAAAACTTTATTTAAAAGTAGACACGGGACAAAGTGGTTTTCGTTGGTAATTCCAATTTTAAATCTAACATAAGCGGCCTGCACTATTCCTAGCTCCCAAATGTAGCAAGCAGATGAAGGGAAAAAAAACCCCAACCCAGTCCCTTGCTGAAAAGCAGAAATACATCAGGGAAGAAATCT